CAATACTTACACGACATGTTATAGTACGCTGCGATCATGCCCAGATTGAGGGATGAGACGGCCATCTTTTCTTCTACGACGATGTTAATCAAGGCTGAATAACGAGAACCACACACTTACCGATCGCGATACATTTCGAGTTGACCAAGCCGTTCAATGTATTCGCAATCTTGCTTGCTGTTACATGAGGATGCAGCGACTGACGTTATCTTCCGTTGAACGGCAAACCCGGCCCGTCATTTGAAGGACATCCAATGCAGGATAATCGACATAGCGCCGCTTCTTCCCTTCATGAGACTGAACGCCAATGATGATGACCGCGCAGCTAGTAACTGATGTTGAGGAATCGATTGTCGTCATCGTCGGCGTCGCGATGCGTGAGGATATCGTCAGCGGCCAGGCGATATTGACGTCGAGATGGCACAAATATAATGATAGGCTTCGTAGGAGAGTGCTCAATTATGGCCAAGTAGGCGGGATTCGACATTGCGATCATAAGGGATGGGAAGTGCGGCATATTGAAGCTCTGTAGATGTATGTCCATGTCAAGTGGGCGGGCGCTGCAAGTGCAGCTCAGTAACAGTGATCCATGTTCAACAGCGGACTTGATTACTTATCTGGGAAGCGATCGCACATCGTGAGACGGATCGTCCATCTACTCGCCAAAGGCTCTCGCATTAGCGAGGGAGACGCTACATGCAACAATTCGAATCTTGAGCTCCTTCTGCGCTGAGATATACCACGTACGAGAAGACGTAATCTCGTACGTCAGGCCGACCTCGCCACCCACAAGCTTCGGCCGCGATGAGCAAACCCAATGTCTGCTCATTTCTTTGCTGACGCCATCTTCTCCACAGGACGTCCCATTGCAGGATACGTGAGCCCGATAAGATGCAGCAAGGCGGTATTCACTTACCTGCATCGGCATACAAACGAGCGGTCTCCCTTCTCCAGGAGGCGCAAATTGGCACTGGTTTCTCCAGTTGAACTGACGATATCCTTCTCATCTTGAAGGTTGCTGAACTTTGTACGCTATTCCGCTACACGCAGGCCGACTTCTTGATAAGGCTCAAGGCAAATACCTCACTGTTGGTCATGCTTACTCCAGTCTGAGCAGAGCAAACTCAGCGCAGATCATCTTGCCAATACCAGTAGGAGCACTCACGAAGATGTTATCATCGTTAGCGTAGAGCGCTTGGGATACCTGCATTTGAATCTTGTTGAACGTGCGAATAGTCGGTGAATAGACGCTCCCGAGCTCGTTGTTGTGCCGAGAAGACAGGGGGAGAGGCTGCAGGTCCAGGAGAGAGTCGGCCAGGGGAAGTTCTCTAGCAAAATGAGATGCTTGAACGAGAGCGGGCGCCGAGTTTCCGCGTGAAGCCAGCGGTCCGAGACGAAAGATATACGGTGAACTGGCTCGAACAGGGGGATCGTCAGTCTGACGTTGTGTTCGTCTTCGGCGTAGCGCTGCCGGAGTAAGTGTATGCGTGCCTTCTAACTGCAGCTACGAGATGAATGCTTGAAGCAGGACGTTGGTCTGCGCCGCAGGTTCTTCGACATTCCTTTACCGGTATCCGTACACGCTGGAGTAGTTTTCATTTCTAATTTTCCTGAGGGACGCAGTGGATGGACGCAACTAAGTTATGTGCGGCCCTAAGCGGTCTTGACCTGCAAGCGTGGAGCGTCAGGGAGGATGCAGGTCTCGAGAGCATGCGCCTACTTTGTAGGCCGAGTCGAAGAAAATATAAGTCAGCCTTCGGATGGCGGCGTCGCTGAAGGCTGGTGTAAGCGCTTTCCGTTGTCTGTTACGCAGATCCGTCAGTAGATCGCCGACAGAGAATAGGCGAATATTACCTCTTGTGGCTGTCCCCTTCCGCCCGCAGCACACCGTTCCCGACCTGCAGCAGGCTCGTCGTGTTCCACAAACAGACCGGTAGGAATACGCACCAGGTTCTCGATAAATTGCTTCGTGAGCGTCGTCTGCTGGTGTAGAAACATCTCGTGAGAATAGAAATGTTGAATCACCTTGGGATCAAACAATACGAGACGCGAGTAGCCCAGGATCGCCGGGATGCAGAAGACAGAGCCGTACTTCCGCGCCAACTGTTCGTAGACAGTGATCAGAGTGCGATCCCTTCTTGCGCGTTCAAGTTTTCGGCGCCCCGGAGGCGAGAGTATCTCTGCATGCGAATCATGCTAGCACGCGCCATCAATGGTAGAGAAGATGAAGAGCGATATAGCATGCCCGTGCCCGTTCGTGGCCTTTGCTTGTATTCAGAAGAAGCTGCTGGGGCGCCCGATGGTGGCAACAAAGACGTGCGAATGGGTTGACGTGCGGGAGTGCATGCCCATTCGCGACGCCTATCGCAGCAGTGTCGATTGTGGTGACAGCAAACCATCGCGGAGACTCACCCACCCAACCGTCGCGCGCGCGCGCTTCCGTCGTAGGCCGCAACCCGCTCTCGTGGCGCCGCGACTAGTGTTGCCCTCGCTGACGTGCCGCCAGAGTACCGCGCGCGGCGCCTGCGAGTGGGATCGGGCTGACAGACAAGGAAAGACGATGGTAGACGGGAAGACAGAGAAGAGAGCTGACCTTACAGCTGGAGTTGAAGAGGCGTTGTTCAGGGACGAGTTGAGAAGGCAGAAGAGGACAGTGGACGCGTCGTTGCAAGACAGAAAAGAGAGGCGGCCGGGCGGGCGAAAGAGTTCGGCGCGAAGACGAGCGGGTGGGCGGGAGAGTTAGACGCGGAGACGGGAGCGCGAGCGGG